TGTTTCTAGAACCAAGCACTCCAGGAAGATTCATTGTGTGGTTTAGAAATGAAACTACCCTTCTTGTGTTGTGGCAACCACCATATCCACCTGGTATTTTCAATTTATACCGTGTAAGCATAAAGCCTGAAGATTCTGATCAGTCAGTTTTGTATGTAGAGAAAGGAGGTGAACCACCAGGACCTGCTCAAGCAGCCTTCAATGAACTTGTTCCTGGAAGAGCTTACAATATTTCTGTTCAGACTATCAGTGAGAATGAAGTTAGCATATCAACAGAAGCAGAATACAGAACAGGTAATAAATGCTGCACTATAAGAGCCCTATAAAAGGTACAGTATTTAACAGGATTTGCTCTAGTACTTTCTTACAGTACTCTATAAAAAAAAAAAACTTGATCTATAAGCTTTTTATAATATCATTCAATAATGCAATGGGTGATGCCATAGGTGACATGCTTGACACCTACATATTTGGTTTGCAAGAATTCCTGGCAATATGACATGCAATGTCACCACAGTAGACTTATGATTGGAGGATTATGTCACAGCTCTTATTGTCCCTTAGAAGTTATTATAAAAGAATATAAGGTATATCATAGTAATATTGGTATTAATAGAGGAAGAGGTGTTGAGCTATCTGTTCTCGGTTATATTTTATATATTTCTGAGTTATTTATTGTTTTATATAGTTCCCCTTCCTCCATCTGATGTCACATTTGAAATGAAAACTTTGACACCCTACTCTGTTGATGTTTTGTGGTCACCTCCCACATTGCCTTCAGAATTTGATCGCTATCAGGTTTCCATGGGGCTGAAAAACTCAGTGAGAAAGATTGTTAAAAAAGAAGAGAAAAGAGTAGCCAGGTTTGTTGAAGGATTAGAACCTGGCCAAACCTACGAAGTAGATGTGAAGACTATCAGTGGTTCTGTTGCTAGTTGGCCTGTGACAGGCAATGTGACCACCAGTAAGTTTTGTTGTTTTCTTTAAAAACATTCATATAGAAATACCTTTATAGTGTTTATACTCATTTAATTTTAGTTTATTTCACTGAGGTTGTTAGATTATATGTGAATTGTGAAATTTTTTCATCCATATTACTCATGTATTAAGCATTCTTGAATGTTTTGTTTCTGTAGATTGTTATTAGTCTGATAAAAATCATAAAATGGATGAAAAAACAAAAAAAACTAGAGAAAAAATCCTAAAGTTTTAGTATGATTGAATATTCAATAGAAATGTGAATTACAGTGAATGTAATATGAGTTTCAACTAAGAAAAATAATAATAAATTCTTATTTTGGTATATCAATTACAGAAACAATTGTGAAAGTGTTAATTTTTCTGTATTGATATGTATTTCTTAAAATGTTAACAAACTGCCATGAAAAAATATAATGTGGTCTCATGACCATTATGTATTGCCAGAGGATAGATAAATGTTGAGATTTTAATACATTGCTTCTACTGAAACCAGCAGGCACAACCATGTGCCCGTACAGAAAACTTATCATTTTGTGATATAGGTTGAATATATGATATTCATCTGACCCTAGTATCAAAAATATACCCCATTGGCTCACTTAATATTTCAAAAGCACTGAGTTTGGAAGCACTTGAAACTCTTACAATTTCTAATTTTGTGATTTTGTTCATTTTATAATGTTCACCTACATGTTCCAACTAAACAAAAAACGTGCAAAGCTAATGATAATTTTATCTAATGAGCAATGTTATGTGTCTTTATTGTGCTTATAAATCAAGAGCACAGTTCTGATAACTCTCTCTCTCTCTCTATATATATATATATATATATAGTGTGTGTGTGTGTGTGTGTGTGTGTGTGTTTATGGAATATGATGGGATTTGTGCACAGTTTGTGTAATATATTTATTTATGTTTAATTTTCAGTAAATTTAATTTTTGCTTTCTAGGACCATTGCCTGTTGTACATTTGGTTGCAACACTGGGAAACCCTGGAGAAATATTAGTAGAATGGCAGCCAAACAGTAAAAGCACCCAGGACTCTTTTCTGGTATTTTCTCTGCTGGCTCTTTACTGAAAATAGTTTTATCAAAAGGCCAAGTAAAAATGGAATTTATTAGATGTGTTCAGTTCAAAGTAAAAGTAATTTATGGTGAAAAGTTTACAAGATATTTTAAGCAAGATTTCGTTTTCTACATGCTGCATGTGAATTCTATTCGTGCAAAAGCATTAAGTAATTTTTACTTTTTCTAAATCTTATTTGTATGCAGTAGCAGTCCTTGATTTCTGATGAAGTATTAGGCTTAAGTTCCACTTAGTAAGTTATTTTTCAGCTACAAATGTTTATTTTATTTAAATTCCAAGCTTAAGGTATATCAACAGAACATGTAGCCCAATCATAGTTAGTAATGTACTGAACAGAAAGGCTAGATTAAGAGTCAACAAAATTATTATTTGAACATGATAGTAACATTCATACCTGTACCAAAATGTATAACTGTAAAATAGGATAAGTCATTAAAAATACTCCCTTAGCTAGATCACAAATGCACAATGTCAAGTAATTTGTCATCACACAGATTATAACGTTTTGCATATATATTTTATTTTTACTTATATTAATGAAGTTTTATGTTCAGAAATTCTAGTACAGAAAGTTAAACAATGTACTGAAAATTTCTCTTGTATAGTGTTTCTATATTCTTTTGTTGATCTTTAAGCTCACTTTAAAGAATTTTTGTTAATGGCATTTATCCAAAACCATTTATCAGCACAACCTTTGCCAGTAATGTTTAGAGTGTCTGGCCTGTATTTCTAAGTTAGACAAATTGTTTTAACATTGCTTGTTAGACTTAATTGGAAGATTGCCACATAAACATGGTGTGGGATAATTATGGAAAAAAGTCTTGAAAAAAACAGGTACAGACTCATAGGCCAGTAAAGCCACACATCTAGAGACAATGACTGATAAAAAAGATAATTAAATGCTATGTTCAAGTCTTTGTTAAGGTACAAAAAGTCTAAATATAGTAATACTTACAATACATCTGTATTATTTGGCATTAAAGTAGCATTGTCAAGCTATACAAGTTAACTTAAAGCAATCTGTCAACTTCTTCACTAGCTATATTTCCTAGGCATAATATTGTTGGTTAGGTGTTAATAGTTTATGACTGATCAGAAAAGGATGAATTTTTACATCATAGTTTTGTTGATTTTTTACTCAACATAATAATAATATATTTGTGGTTATATCCAGATACAATAAGTTATCTTAATAGATAAACAAATATCTGTGTGAAATGACTGAATCCTTTAAGTCCGTTTTTAGTATAATAAAGCAGCTATTTTGGTTGTGAGGTTGTATAAGGTTAAGAATGATAATTTTTCAGATATTCAGACACGCATTATTACTTTAAAACTTCATTTTCCTTGTTACATATATTTGTTCCTACATTTCAGTTAAAAAAAAAATTATTTTGTTTTTCGCCTTTTTCCATTTTTGAGTTTTGATTCACAGACTCAAGAAATATGATTGCGATTTTGGAAATTTGATGTCTAATTGCAATATGAATTTTCTAGAATGTAATAGTATATGTTGAAAGAAGAAACTGTCTTTTCATTATATCTGTTAGCTGTAACAACTTAATTAGTGTCAGCATAGTAAAGTAAAAGTTTTTTCATAATTCTTGTAGTTGTTATCCTGCTTTGAAAAAATTTCAATATTTTTAGACATTTGGTATTTATAACATGACCAGTTTACAGTAATGAAGATGTATTTTTTATTTTTATGTGAAATTCTTAGAACCCTTACACTTCCATGTAGACTTCATATTTAATTGTGTTTTACACAAAACATTTGTTCATTACTTAAACTCAAAATTTGATTTAATCACTGAAGTGAATATTTAATAAAACTATGAAAACATTTTTGTTTGATAAAAAAACTACTTTTATCTATTGTAATTTTTTTGTAATTTATAGGACATCTCAGTAAAACTTGTTTGTCCTAGTTTTTAGCCTTATTTTTTCTGTCTCAATCAGAAAAAGTAAAAATATTAAAATGTCCCAGTTTCTTTATACCTCATTGACAGTTTGATATGTATGGTATGTCATGGCTCCTTTAATTGTTACTTGGAAAATAACTTGACAAAGCCAGATGACACAGCACAGTGTTTCCTTCCTTCTGCTACATATTCTTAGCCTAATATGTCATAGGGCAACTGTAGAAATTGGGATTTTAAGACCAGCAAGGCTGCAAAAAAAATATTAAAAAGCAGAGGTGAAATTCTCAAAAAATAGAGGTACTCAAATGGGTGAAGTGGACCTGTTTTTGAAAGGAAAAAAATCTATGTGTGAACATAAAAAAATGACAAAGAAGCTCAAATAAGTCCCAGTACTAATACCACCTTAAAAAATAAGCTCAGGTACTCAGTACCAGTGAGTACTGGCAGAATTTCACCCCTGTTAAGAAGTAACATTTTTCTTTTGAGTAGGTTTAGGCACAATTTTTATTTTATTTATTATTCTTTTAATTAGATAAGTTATTAACAAATTTTGTTTGTCTGTGATTTCAAAATGTGATGCAATAAACATCAAATTATTTAGAAATTGGTAAAAAGTGTCTTTTTCTAATTTACACTTTTTCAGAGTTATTGCACTGTCACTTCTTGTGGAAAAAAAGCCCCAGATTTTCATTCTAGAAATCTAGTAACCTTAGCCATTTAGCTTACACTTTTAATGTTAAACTGTTCAGGCAAAGGAACTAAGAATTATCAATAATACAAAATAAAAAAACAATTTTTTTAAAAATGATGTAGAGATGGCAGTGCCAAAAACATACACACAAGAATGTAGGAATGATACAGCTATACATAGATCATCCCCACATGACTTCCAATATTAAAATTTAATGTAACACTGTAAAATACACTAATACAAAATGGTTATGAGGTTGATCAATTCAACCCAACCTCGTAATGAGAATTTGTACAAATCAAGACATGTTTGACTCAACTTGGTTTTCCTTGTACATATGTCCTAGGCTCTTAGTTACACTACATTGATACTTACCCTGACATGACCATGATATTATGATAAACAAACTGCATACCAACAGTAAGGAATATATAACTTCCAACTGCAGTAATAATATTAAAGTCAAGTACACATTTTACTGTGTAACATTAAATTTTAATATTGAAAGTTAGGTAGAGATAGTCTACATATAGCTGTATCATCCCTACATTCTTGTGTGCATCGTTTTTGGTACCGTCATCCCTACCTCATTTTACATTTATAAAATGTTTTTTGTTAATTGTTTTGTGAGTTTTTACCCTGAATGAAAGTTAGTGTACTTTGTGAATGTATATAACCAAATTTAATATTATATGTATTGATTTTTTTTTTACTCTTCCAGTTCATTCATAATATAGTGGTTGGCTGCCTAAAGACACAGATTGTATAGTGTACAAAGCATTGAGTATTCTCAATTTTACAGTAATCTAACATTCATCTATTATTGGCTGGTAATTCTTGTTTCACCCTGTACTTAAGCTTTTTAAAGGAATGCTAGATTTCTGTAAAAGAAAGCTAACTTCAAGGAGTAATGATAACATTGTTTACATTAGAATTATGATTTTTATTTTTTTAATTACTACTAGTTATGACACTGTTCACTGCCAAGAAACACACAGAGTGCATTTAGGTTCAAGCTTACTTAATAATAAAGTAGTTGTAGAGTTCTTGAATGAAACAAGAAGAGGAAAGATGAACAGTTTGGTGGATTGGTCACTTTCTGGTTTGGTATCTTAGTGACAGTTTCTTGCCTTGTTTTTGTGCTTGTTGGGTACCTTGGCTATCCCTACATATAGAGTCTATTGACTCTATGGTATGTACATGTTTAATTGAAAATATTCCTAAAATAACAGCCATTTCTTTTACATTTAGGTTATGGCATTTGAAATACTTATTTTCAAGTCTTTTTTATTTTTTATCATCAGATAAACTATCAAGAAACTGAGGCTTTCAATGGTGATAAAAAAGGTGCTACTATTCAAGAAACACTGTATCAAATAAATAGCCTTCAACCAGGAAGAAGATATTCAATTAATGTGGTTGCTGTGAGTAAAGGTGTTCATAGTGAACTAAGCCTGATTTATCAAACTACAAGTAAGTTTTGTTAATAAGAATTCTTATTCTAAGGTTATCTTAAATTCATAAGAATAAAATAATGTGCTTCAAACAGATCTTAAGTTTATAATTAAAAGGTATTATTGTTTCCCAAAACACTTTTAAAATGAGAATATATTTGAAATATGTAAATGTAATTTAATATCATTTTACCTTCAAAAATAAATAGCTTTTCATCTTACTTGTTTATATCTTGATTTTCAAAGATCTTAGAAAGACTTCAAAATATTGTCCACCTCCAAAAAAATACAACCAGGCAGCTCGTATGAAGTAAAGGTATTATGAAATAAAATCAGTTAACCATGATTCATAACTTTTATCAGTTATTTTGCTCTTCTTTCATATTTAGCATTTTCTCACATGGGTCTTATATGTTTATGTATCCAATTATTTCTGTTTTAATTATCTTCTGAAGACAATCAGTTATAAATAACTGTTTACATTTGCTGATAAACTTCTTATGCATGAATTAGAGATCTACCAATATTTACACCCAGTGTTTACAATTTGCACGTCCTAAAAAAAAAGATATATGCCTCTACATTAGAATGAAGAATGACACAAAACACTTAGATAAGCAACTTACGGAAAAAGTCTTAATTACCTTTGACTAGCCAACCAAAATAGAACTATAAAGTCACCCAATAGAAATATTTCTCAGATTCTTTAAAAGCATACAAGCTCCTTCAAACAGGCTAAATAGTTTTCAAAAGTGGGCCTTTAGGAGTTCTCTTTTCCTGATGGTAACTGAACCTCAGCAGAACAACCAAAAACTTTCAGTCAATCACAAAGTTGCTGCTTACTCACCACTTCAACATTTTCTAACTCAACATATGAAAAACAAGAGCCCATTTAGTTCATCAAGGTTGTTTTTACATTTTGGTTTCTATCTTTGTTAAAGACACGGTGTAGATAACCTGTTGTATAGCCTTGCACCAAACAAGAAAAGAAGAAACAATCATAATGGGTCGGAACTCACTTTAAATTATTGGACATCAGGTTCTTAAGAAGGCTCACTTACCTGGTTAGAGGACAAGACTTCAGGACTAAGACTCTCCCATTGTGGATGATAAATCATCTGCATATCAAAACTTTGCAGCTCTAAAATGCAAGTAATCTACTTTTTATAAATTCCCCAAGAGAAGTCATTGAAAAGTACTATGATTTAGTATATTCCAATGATTTTCTTACCTACAAGTTAGTAGACCCCAGTACATATAACAAAGTCACTCTTTTAATTTTATTTGCCCTGTGCTCCATTTTGATTGGGTTGAGTCATAACTACTCACAATTTCACATGCCAAGTGCTAACATAAATATTTTTTCCTCCAAACTGGGAAATACAAAATCATTTCACTATCAATTTTCATGGGTGGAAAATACATTGTAGTATCCACTGTTCTAGTAAATAACTAACATCTGTTTTTCAGTCAGTTTTCATAAATCAGTTACCAATCTTAACCATGGGTAAAACTGCTCAGTACAATTTGGTCTTGGCTATTACCACTGTGTCAGTTAAATATTCTAAAACACATGTATTAAACCAAGTTACAACAAATTCTTATGAAATAAATATACATCCTCAAACAAAAATAAAGTGCTTAAGAGAATTATTCAGCTCAAAGAATATTTAAAGCTTATCATTCTTATCATAAATCCATAACCAACATACCAAAACTAGATCTCCAGGAAATAGAAAGGAAAAGATATTATTCCACAACCTAATGAAAATCAACCCTCAGCTGTAATTGATTACGACTTTTAGTGTTTACCTATTATCCATTACTTTATCTATTATCTATTACTTTTCATTAGTATACAGTAATCAATAGAAAAATCACCAAATTAAAGTCTGTGATAACCTGTAATGTTAATTTTAAAAAAGCTAAAGGTAAAAGCTTCACATTTTTTAAAAAATTTGATTCATTTTACTCAAATATTAAAACATGTAAAACTTACATTCCGATATAGTATCTTACCTGCTCTTGTTCAGTGCTGCCCTCTACATGTACAAATTTTTCACTCACCACTAGCCTTAAAACTCCCACCTACCCCAGTTTAACGTGGTTCTACTGCATCTTTGCATGCAAATAAGCATCCAGCAACCCTCCACCAATAAGAGTGCTACATACTTTCCTGATGCAGGTAACTGTCTCTATACTATTAAAATTTACCGTCACTTCCCGTTTAGGCACTATCATCTTCAGATATTATTGAATTTTGTTCATGTTTCTTTTTTTTCCATTTGCACTCTCTCAATTTTTTTTTTTTTGCATTGTTTCTCATAGTGGTAATTTGACATAGTTCAGCATTTCAATTACAACTTGAGTTAAAGTAAACTTAACTCTCCTTTTTTCTGCACTATTTAATTTGGTGAACTGTTCTCAGTTGATCCATGAATTCAGAAATTCATGTCACAAATACTACTGCCGTGACTACTACTACTTTGAATGTCATTTCTCAGGCTACAAGGTCTCGGCCTCAGTTCAACAGGAGCTTGAACACTACATGAGACAACCGGCTTCTCCTGAACCTGGACAAGATCTTCCATTTCCGGATGAACCTGATCTTGACAGTGAGGTTTTGTAGAGCCTTTTTCCTCCCCCACCCTATACCATGCAATCTCGTGTGTCACCTCCTGTGGATGCTGCCAGGCCTCCCTCAACCTTTTTTGGACATTATTTTATATGTATGTTACATTTTGTCTGTGTCCCCTGTCATGTATGACCCTGCATCTTCCCTTTTACACACTACTCTTTCATCAGAATACTTTGTTTTTCCTCCATCATCAGATAGCAGGGCCTATGCTGACCTGTTCCAAGCACAGTTATGTCCAGGATCCAACATGCTTCATCCTCCTTGATCTTCAGATCCTTTTGCTTCGGCTTATCTTCAAGCAGACTTTCCTTTTCTAGACTCTCAACAGTTAGCGTCTTTGACGCAAGTGTGGGGACCAACCACGATTCTCCAGTTAGGTTCTCCCAGACTCAGTTTTCTAGATTCTGGCTGACCCTGACATCTATCCTTTGGTGCCTGTCTACCATGCACCTCTCAGAACAGAGGCTATCCACTGTTCCCCTGCAGGGTTTTTAGAGAAGACCTGCACCATTATATTTTTCATGTTGGTGTGTTTATCCTCATCTGTCCTTTCCCTCCAAACTTTGCTTCTCTGCTGCAGTATCTCCTAGGTAGGGACACATTTTTGTCTCAAGTGCACCTACCAGTTACCTATCTGTACGATCTCAGAATGGCACAATTTTTATGTATATCTCATTTTGGAGATGTCCCTGGAGTCTGAACAATAACATTCATCCATCTCTTCTTTGGTTTCCAGGTTATTTCAGCCTTCACCTGCTCCCACATCTCCTTTTCCTATTCTTCTCTCCAGTGTTTTGATAGTGAATCCTCATATTTCTCACCACAGAAACACACACTGCAAATGGTACTGGTGACTACCCTGTGGGTTCTAGCAGGATAGATGAATGCTTGTCGAGATCCATTCACCTATGATGCGAGTTAAGTTGTGATCCTTGGGTTCTGCAGGTGCTATCTGAATAACTCTTCATCCAGTCCTTCCCCATTGTCACCAGTTCCTGTGTCCTTCCCACCTCGTCATAATTCTATAACTTGCCAGCAGTCCAGTCTCTTCTACTCAAGGGGCCCCCCAGTGGCACAGTGGTATGTCTACGGACCTACAACGCTAAAAACCGGGTTTCGATACCCGTGGTGTGTAGAGCACAGATAGCCCTTGTGTAGCTTTGTGCATAATCAAAAACAAAACAAAAATCTACTCAAGGATGCCATAGAACCAGTCAGTCAAACCTCATCAGGTTTATACTCCAGGTTGTTTGTAGTTCTCAAAAAGACTGGGCACTGATATCCACTGATTGATTTGTCTCAGCTCAACTATTCTATAGACCGTCTCTGTTTTACCATGGAGTCTTTTCTCACTCCTGGTCTGTGGATGACCACGGCAGATGTCTCAGCTTCTTACTTCCACATTCCAATTACCCCACAGTCCAGATGGTATCTTTGGTTCATTCACAGGGGAAAAGTTCACCAGTTTCATGCATTGCCCTACAGGTTGGCTATGACACCTTATGTGTTTTGTTAAGTGGTCAGGGCTTTTGCTCAACTCCTCCCTACTTGGGGCTTTCACTTCCATCATTACATGGAGACTGACTACTACTGGCTCTCTCAGAATCTATTGTGCATGAACACATGCACACACACAGTTGCTTTTGCAAGAAGCGGCACGTGTTGGTTGGATTTTCAAGGTGGAGAAGTCCTTCCTTGTACCTACCCAATATCTGATCCACTTTGTAGTATTTTTCAACTCCTACCTCAGTCAGGATCAACCTTCTCCCCTTTGTCTACAGTTGATGAAGCTTTTAGTCACCAAGACCCTTACCTCTCCTACTCTCAGTTCATGTGAGATTGTTTCACTTTTGGGGACATGAACTTCCATGGAAGCACTTATTCTCTTAGAGTGTTCTCACATGTACACCCTTTATTGGATGCTGCATGATATATGGAACCTTGCCAGGAATTCCTTAGACTCCGTTATCCAGCTCCCACCTTCCCTACTGAACGATTTCACATGGTGACTACACAGAGACAACACCATAGTGGATGTTCCTCTTCTACCTCCTTGTCCTGTGCTGCACCTGTTTACATATGCATCACTCAGGGGTTGGGGCAAGTTTGGAGCATCAGGAGGTTTCAGGTCATTGGTCTCTGATTGAGGTGACTTTACATATCAACATCTTTGAACTCCTGGCTGTTTGTCGAGCTTTGGATCATTTCCTTATCTCAGTTCAGAGCAAATTCGTCATGATCCATTCATCAGTTATCTCATACATCAATTACCAGGGTTGCACCCAGTCCGTTAGTTATGTTTCCGAACATTGAAACTACTTTTTTGGGCCCATGCTTTTCATATATGCCTCATTGTGTGCCTTGTTTCAGGTGCATACAATCCTGTTGTGCATCATCTTTCTCAAACCAGATCTTACCCAGGGAGTGGTTCCTTGATCCCCAGATTTTCCAGTGGTTGTGCACACAGTGGAGTACTCCTTATATGAATGCATTTGCCGCTCAGAACAACTCAAAATTGCCTCTGTTCTGTTCTCCAGTGCTTCATCCACATACATTAACTGTGGATGCTCTCAGTCAGGATTGGACTAACCTATATACCTATCCTCCAATCCAACTTCAACCCAGGATGATATCCATCATCCAGTCCACCCTGTGTTGGGTATTTCTCATTCACCTACTGGCCAACACAGCTCTGGTTCTCACTTCTCACCATCCTTCAACTGACTTTCCTTTACTGTTTCCTCTTTCACCATTTTTCCTCTGTCAACCTCAGCCTCTGGTTCTATACCCTTCATTCCACACACTTCATCTGCACACATGGCTTTTATCCAGTCTCTCGCAAGGAGATCCGGATTATCCATATGTGTAGCATACATTTTATCCAAGTCCACTCACCCTTCCTCTCGTATGGTTTATCATAGAAAATAGTGGGTTTTTTACCAATAGTCTCTGGCCCATGGGTTCTGTCCTTCCTGATTGACTGTACCTCACGTTTCAGAATTTCTTACCTGGATACTTGATCATAAGTTCTCAGTATCTTCTATTGCTGGATTTGAGACAGCCTTATCTAACACCTTCCATTTTATAAGGTACTGCACCATGTTTTCCTCTCCTACCATTTCCCTTTTGTTGCATTCCTTCCAGATTGATCATCCTCCTTGCCTTACTGTTTTGCTGGATTGGGATATTAATATTATTCTCCGTGCCCTTATCCTCCCTCCCTTTGAACCTTTGGCTACCTGTTCCCTCTCCCATAAAACCTACTTCCTAATCCTTTTTGCCTGTGGATATCGGAGGTCAGATATATTTGCCATCAATGTTTCACGTACCCTTTACCACCACACCTCTGTTCTCCTTTATCCAGATTGTACTTTCCTTCCCAAAACATTGGCGGCTTGTGAGGCCAACTCTTTCTTTATGCCAATTTCCCTCCCATCCATTTCCCATTTATACTACCATTCTGATCAAGATAGACTTCTCTGTCCAGTTCATACTCCTTGTTATTATATTGCCCAGATGGCTTCCTTCCTTGGGTTTCGCTCCCAGTTATTCATTCCTTGGACACCATCCTCTCTCCATAACCTTCTACTCTCAAAGGTTGGATTTTTCAACTGGCAGATACATCCCTATCTTCCAATTCCCAGCATCTTTTCCAGGTATCATCTCGCCAGATTCAACATCTTACAATTTTTTTGTCTTACTTTAGAAGAGATCATCCAGTCAGGCATGTGGACTACACCAAACACGTTCATCTCCTATTACCGACATCATATGGCTGTTTCTTCCTCATCCGGATATCGTATTCCATCTGTTGCCATTCTACACTTGATGGTTCAACTGTGAATTACTAAGTTTGCTTTTCTCCTTGTCTCTTTTTCCCTACAGGAGCATGTCCTTTATAGCTGGTGGATTTGGCTCAGTGGCAACTGGTGCCTGTACTGGAATACTTACTGGTTATCAGCCACATAATCATCAGAGTATATATATATATATATATATCATCTGAGGTATCCCTGGCACACCACCTTTGATGGGTTGAGACTTGGAGGCTGGTGTAGCAAGGAGCTGGTCCAAGTATATACATCTCTCTCCAGGTTAAGTTGGAGTGTTCTATTCTACAAAACTACTAGTAGATTTTCCTCATAGTATATTGCTTGATAGTTATGCCTGTACTAGACTGCACTGACTCATGGACTGTCTTGAGTAAAGCAGAAGGGGACAGCTGCCCATCCCAGCTGATCCTTCGATTGAAAAAATCAAGGGTAGTCTGCTGTTTGAAATAGGATTTTGGTGGTCACCCATTGCACAGTTTCCAGTGTCAGCATTCCTCTGGACTCCCCAATACAATAAAATACATTCTGCTAGTGGAGTATGCGTGTTCTTACCACTTACCAGTTTCTAGCTGCTGAGATGGTGGACCATGGAGGCTTCCTCCTGAATCTGGTCAATCCCATTCAGTAGATAGAAGGGCAGTAGTGTGCTAGTGGGGGTAGATCCTACCACAGATTTAGAAACTGGAGTAGATCCACCATAATGCAGTTCACCCGTCCTTTTGGGACCCATCATCCTACCATCACCTGGATGTCAGTTCCCAGACATTAGGTTTTGGATTCAAGCTGGACCAGGCAACATAGGTCTTCACATATGTTCATTGGGAGCCCTTATCCTACCACAGACACAATGAATTAGTTAGTTGGGGGGTACCCCTGGTGTACCTCCTCCATCAAGCTGAGGCTTGGGTGTTTGGTATTGCAAGGAGCTGAACTAACTGACAGGTACTCTGGTTGGCTGGGGTACCTCTGACATAACACTTACTGGTTGAGACTTGTACGTTTAGAGCGTGGAGCTGGAACTAATAATCAGAAGTCCAGTTGGTTTTGGATGGGAGTGAACTGTCACACGGGCATTTCTCTTCTTACTTTCGTTCAGATATCAGGTTCCTGAGTAGCTGGTGTTGGTTGAGGAATTGGCACATGTGCTCTGTCTTGTCAGACAGAATGGAATATCTTCCCTTTTGTCTTGTAGGTTTGAGGTGAAGTTGGTATAAACTCTCCTCCTACTGCAGATTACAGTCTGATGTGCCCTGGCCATTCTATACCGTGGAGCACGTCTGTTGGGTTTTCTACACCATTACTATATTTGGTTGGGAACCTTCCACCCTGCTATCTCCTGGATGTCATTTTCCGGGTGTTGAACTGGACCAAGGGACATGTCTACATTCATGGATGTACTCCAGCTAATTTACCCCCATTTTTGCGACACTTACTACCTCATTGGGCAACGAGTATACCTGGTACAGATGTGGGGTGGTCTCCCATGGGAGTGTTTCTCTCTCAACTGAGGTCACACTCCACAAATATTCTTTGGATGCTTTCTGAAGGGTGTTGATCTAGGTAACTTTTGCATTGGTTCCTCCACCTCTTCAGTGTGAGATTCTAGCTATTATGTGAGAAGAGGTAAGGTACTATATCAGAAGTTGATATTTTCCTACATTGAAAATATATTTCCGAAGTGAATGTTAAGCTGAATAGTATAGAGGGTGTAACATGCATCAAGAGAGTATGTTGCACTCCTAATGGTGGAGGGTTGCTACATGCTTATTTAGATGAGGAGATGCAATAGAACCACATTAAGCATGGAGTGGGAGGGTGTTTCAAGGCTAGTGGCAAGCAAAAACTGTTTGCATATAGAGGGCAGCACTAAACAAGAAAAGCTGTCATGTTTGAGGAGGTAAGCACCTAACTTCCTTAAAATAAATCATTTTTCTTCTTAATTTAATACAATTTGTTGACAGTGTTAGAACTAAGATACTGTAAAAATCGTAATGGATCATATTCGTGTTCAATGTGTTTACATTAAAGTGTAATTAAAATGAAATATGTACACAGTAGTTTAATTTTAATCATAAATATACATATTTTCTTTAGAAAGCACCTACTTAGAAATAACTCAAATGTACCACATATCTCCATATGTGAGTAAACCTAATTGTTATTTCTATACGAGAAATGACATGAACCAAAAGATTAAATTTTTCTTTTGATTGTAAAACATTGAGCATTCACCACCGTAAATATATAAGGAATATTATCAAAACAAATGAAAGACTATTACAATACTTTATTAATAAATATTCATTTTTAATGAAATCTATACCTGATGCATAGTGATGTATATTGTATTGTTATCTTCTAAATGCTTTTATTATTTCAGGACCCACACCTCCAGTGATTAAAATTGTAGAACCAGTTATTTCAGGCTTCAACGTTTCCTGGAAGTCTGATGTCGTAAGTCAGCAAGATTCATATGTAGTTGAATACATTCGTAATGACACTGGCCACACTAATGAAGAAATCACTAACAGTCACTGGCTGTTACTAAATAACTTGTATTCTGGTGCAGTATATGAGATTAAGCTCTATGCCCAGAGTTACGGACTGAAAAGTGAACCTCATTCATATTTTCAGGCTGTTTGTAAGTATCTATGGTATTAAAATTCTTTGATTATACTGGAAGTATTTTATTAAAATGATCTGTATATTTTGAGATAAAAGTATAGTTTATCTTTATTTAAACAGACAAATTCCCATTCATTAAGTAGTCTAATTCTTTAACACCAGGTGCTAGCACTGCTGTTGCATTTGATGAATGACTCTTGCATGTTTTCCGATTTTTTTTTATACCAAATTTATGAAGAGTAGTTTCTATGTTTGATAATTAAAGCAAATAACTTCATTTTTTAATTTTTGCCATTTTATTGTAGCTGGAGGATCTTTCATGATTGTTTCACACATCAGTATGTTTTTATTTTTCTACTTTGAAAACAAAAATATTTGATATTCCTGACACATATATATTTTTCTCTTTAGATTATTGATTTTAATTTGTAGATTGATGCAACATAACTTTGTGATGAATCTTGAGCATTTATATTATAAAACTTTAAATTTTTTCTGAATATTTTTATTTTATGTTAAAAAGTTTTGTATTTTAATGACTACTAATTGCAATATTTTGTATTTATACACAATTTGTAGATCCCAAACCACCAGAAAAACTTCAAACTGTGAAAGCTAGTAACTCTACAATAATTTTAAAGTGGATTGCCCCATCAAACTCCTTAGTGGACCACTATATAGTTCATTACAGGCCAGCTTATTCTAACTTTTTGAGAGAAGTAGGTATGTTGCAGTCTATTTATAATGCAGTAGCTTTTCTTTTAGAATGGACAATAATTTTAACAAGTATGCATGATAAAATTTGAAAGAGCATGAAAATTAGCAGTTTGATGGAGATGCTTTGTAATTGTATTAAAAATATTAAAGTAAACCAATTAAGAAATATTTTGAGAAAATTACATTTGTTATTTTTTAGTTGAATTACCTCAAAAAAGTGATAAAGCTCAAATTTGTTTTTGTTTAATATAAAATTAGAAAAAAAGAATTCAAACTATCAGAAGTTATGCTATAAACTTTTAAATCTAGTTTTGAAATTATGTAATAAAATTAAATCATTCAAGACCAGCAGTAAAGGTTTTCTAGCACTGCTTCTGTGCAAAATACTTGATAATAACTTGCTATAAATAAGTTGAATACAAAATTTTACTTGCATTCTAAAGTAAAAGAAAGTGGTATTGGAAAAATTAATTAAACTATCAAGCAGTTTAATGTGCATAAGTGTAGGCAAAATATTGTGAAATATTAACGATGGTTCGTGGAAGTTCCCCAGTGACACAAAGTTAAGTTTACGGACTTATAATGATAAAATCTGAGGTTCAATTCCTACAGCTAGCCCATTGTATAGTTTTGCACAAAAAATACAATGTATGATATAAGATAAAGTACATGCAATAAAAAAAAATTGTTTTTTTCTTACAACAGTTGACTGAGCACCACAAATATGTACTATATACAAATACAGTTACAGGGGCTAGCTATTATTAGGAAATATGTACCCTTTCAAACTTCAGCCTCACCTAAACTGCAGATTCAAATTAGGTTAGCTACATGATGTGTCAGGTGATCCCTGCAGCACTATAAGTAACTGGAAAAAAAACATTTGTAGTCATTTTAATAGATATGTGGAAAGGCAAAGATATTGCAGCATTCAAAAGAGGCATAATAGTGAGGGCATATCTAGCAGGTGCCACAGTGACCAAGACTGTGTCCATTGGTAGGCTGCTCTAAGATATCAGTCAATTTAGTTTATCAGGAATGGAAGAGGTTGAATAAAATGTTTGATGCAAGGAGGAACTGTGGCTGCAAACACATAATCACAGAATAAGGAGAAAGGTATTTAGACAGGATGATAAAGTCCAATGATCATTAAACAATACACCAACTAACAGACCTTTAGTAAAGGGCAATCCATACCCATCTCCAGCCATACCTTGTGAAGAATGTTTCAACAAATGAATTATGGCAGTAGTAGACTGTTGCACAAACCACTGGCCTCGGTTACCAACAAGAAAAAAATGCATTGAATTGTTTAAAGTGCGTAGACATTGGATTAATAAGGACTGGTGAAAGGTGATGCAGTCCAATGAAATATACTTTACCCTTTTTTGCACAGGTTGAAGAGGGCAGATTTGGAAAAAACCTCAAGAATAACTCACCTCTCTTATGTGGCCCTAACTGTCCAGACCACTGGTAATGGAGTCATAATTTAGGGCATGTTTTCCTGGAATACCCTAGGTCCCTTAATTCCTTTATAAGGTAGAATGAATGCATTCTACCTTATTAGGTATATCCAGTGATGAATCATGTGTATCCTGATGGAGACAGCTACTTTCAAGATGACAGTGTTTCCATCCAAGTGCCCAAATTGTGTACCCATGTTATGAGAAACATGACAGAGGCTTCAGACATTTCCTATGGCCACCACAATCTCCAGATCTCAATCCAATTGAGCATCTGTCAGATGAATGTGAAAAACACATTTACCATCACTATCTTCTACCTATCTCACTCTATAAATTGCATACAATATTAATGACTGAATGGGAAAAATCCCTCACGACAGCTTCCAGCACCTTGTAAGTTCTATGTCATGCCATATTATGGCTGTTATTCAGGTGAAAGGTGGCCCAATCCATTATTAGGTATAGTTTCTAATAGTGTCCAGCCACCCTTGTACAAGTGAAAGTGCTAATCAGTAAAAAACACCAGTCATTTGTGTTGTAATATTAGTAAAAGTCTTTCAGAAAGTTTCGTACTGTAAAATAGTGTTAGACATGGTAAATATTAGATTAGAAACATTGCTTCATTTTAAAGCATTGTTAAAGATTATATGAAATACATATGCACATAAAAACAAAAATCTGTCTTTATATTTCTGTATGAAAGATTATTTCATTTCTTAGACCCTCTATGTGATTTAAAGTGTATTGCTATTCTTTCATGGTTGTTTGTTTCTTCCATTTTGATAGAACAGAATTTTCTTTGATGACTACTACTACTACTATTGTGATCTAATTTCTTAATGAACGTTATACTGTATGAACAGCATCCAAGTTTATATATGGATACAATTAATGGTGACAGGAGGTGCAGGATTAACACCTTTTTTATTTGGTTCATGGCAAATCTCTGAACATTTGTCTATGTAATACTGCTTGGGTACAGATGTAGTTGGGGTCTGTATGTCACAGTACTTTCTGAGGAAAGATGTTCATGTAGTGAGAATAAAGAATATAGAGCCAAAGGGCACAATGTCTTGTAAAAGAGAACCTTTGTTGTTCTCTTTGAAAGAGGAAAAACATATATAACAGTGTGTTTAAGACAGAAGTAAACTTCAAAATCACACCCCAAACCAATGCAGAGCAAAATGAAGTCTATAGTTACAAAAAGAGATCTCGTCAATCCAAAATGCCGTTATGATGAAGCTCGTAGCTCATATCATCTAGTATCTTAAACAAGATGATAAAAAAGGATATGTAGTTGATGAAAACTCACAAGTTTTTATCCATACCTCAAAACCAATAAATGGCTGTTTTTATGAGAAAGATGTCTGGAGAAATTGGAATCACAGCAATCCCATTCAAACATACATCTGTCAAGTTCCCTGATGCAGTTTCAATGGACTTTTGTGTTTTTACTTTGCAAGGGTTGTCAAAATATATGATTCTAAGACTGACCATGTAAATGCTTGTTACAATGGAAATTTGGTATCACATAATAATGACTAACAGATTGAACATTTTTGATGATGGAGGAAGGTTTTTCCATGGTAGCATAGGACTTGGAACATAATTCTTATGCAGTTTGATTAACCTTCGCTATTTTTCTGTGTATGATCATTGATGAGTGAAACTGTAGGAAACATATAATACTTAAAGAGTTGTATCATATTTGAATTAAGAGTGTTTTTGGAATGTTTTTTTTTCAGAAATTATATTTATTTGATACTTTTGCATTTCTTGTTTTTACAATTCTTCTGCAACCACTACATGATTAATAGGAATTTTTTATAATTGAACATTCTATTATATATGTGGTATGCAAAACATATTTGGAATTTTCTGCTTTTTTACTTGAGTCAAATGAGTATTGAACATTCACCTAAAAGTTTTAAAATCTTTCAGGTATACATGTTTCTAGCCATGTGTGTCATTTTAGCAGATGAGCATTGGTCATGGAATGAACTTTATGGCTATCAACCTAGTTACCTATTATTCTGGTTAATTCTCTTATGGTGTCACATGCCCTTCTTGTGGGAAAGATTGCTATGTAGTAAGATATGCTATGTAAAGAAGGGCTGTGATCTTTTCCACTGATGGGTTATGTGATGCCTTAAGGATATATCCTCCTGTATTTTATTTTTGGAATAATCAACAGTGATGTAAATAGCATGTTATTGTTTTTGTGTATATAATATTGTACTATATTAGTCTACAAAAGAATCTCTTCACAAAAAGACAGATAATTAAAATCTCTCTGTTGACTAGAAATACTGCTCATCATCCAGTGCACTCATTTGCTTTTGATTGTTTCTGTTGAGAATAAAGATTGTTTTTTCATTTTGTCTTTATCATGTCCAGACTCTTTTTCTTAATCAAACTTAGTCAGAGTTTGATAAATTCAATTTAACTCTGTAACTTTCTCTGGCTACTGCAGTTATTATCCTTATGATTTCATCTTTAAGGTTACCTGTATATATATAAGATTGAGTATTGCAGATATAACCCATACTGGTTCCAGAAAAAACATTATAGAATTTTTCTCTTATTTTAGGAATAGTGAATGCTACATCATCTGAAATAAGTAACTTAGTTGCTGGTGTGTGGTACATTGTCAGCATTGCTTCTGTTAGTAACCTTGTTGAAAGCAAAGAAGTTAGTGAATTAGAACAGTCAACATGTAAGTTAACTTTTTTTTGTTCAGGCCTGTTTCATTAAATTTTAAAATTTTTATATTTTACTTTTAATGAAATCAGCATATATTTTTATAACAGATAAACTGTTTATACATACTAACTTGAACCATTGCTTACCTAGGTTTATAAATAAGTTCAAGCTCAGAGAAATGTCATGTTAGTTTATTTTTGTGAACTTAGAAAGCCAAGATGTGTGGTATTGACAAAATAAATACTATGAATAACACTTAATTTCCCATATATATATTTAGCAAATGTCCAGATGTACATGCTATGCTAAGATTGGATGCAGGAAGTTTATATAATCCATTTTCCCTAATGCATTCAAAGAAAAATTAACAGAATTATTATACAAGTATTGACTGACATAAAGCTTTTTTTTCATTATTCTTATTTGGTCTCATATGTTTGGTTGTATTAAGTTACTTACATACTTTCTTCTACTGTAGGCCCGGCATGGCCAGGTGGTTAGGGCGCTTGACTCGCAATCTGCGGGTTGCGGGTTCGAATCCCCATCACACCAAATATGCTAGCCCTTTCAGCCATGGGGGCATTATAACGTAATGGTCAATCCCACTATTTGTTGGTAAAAGAGTAGTCCAAGAGTTGGTGGTGGGTGGTGATGACTAGCTGCCTTTCCTCTAGTCTTACACTGCTAAATTAGGGACAGCTAGCACAGATAGCCCTCATTCAAAACAAACAAACAATCTTCTACTGGAATGTTTTGCTGTGATTTGTGAAATTCACGAGTGTCTATTGACTGTTCACAAAGCTTCTGAAGCTACATTTTTTGCATACTTATAATAAAAGATATATTTTCCTGCCCTACTATGGATAATGGAATATGGTTTCATATTACCTGTTTGGGGGGCACCTCCCAAATCACTTATCAGTCTTACCCATGCCCAGTATTCTCGCCTACATATTACCCTTACAACTCTTTTTATAGTATCTTTCTTCTCTGCACTTCCTCTCTGAGGTTCTCCACAGAAATCTTAGTGGTTTTCTGGTGATACCCTTTCCCTTCTCTCTTCCACACTAGCTGATTTGTCACCTTCAACTCTGGCTTTGCATAAATGGTTTCTCTGTTGATGGGAAGTTCTAGGTCATGATGCGATTTTGGCTTGGGTCCATTTACCATCGACTTATCTTTGGAATTTATCTATGGCCCCATTTCTGCAGCAATACATTTTTGACACAATCCCAGAAACACTAGAGCCATGTGTGGCATCAGTCCAATTCCAATCTACCCTTATCAATATTGTTGCATGTTTGTTTCAGTCAAACCCCAAATGACACCTATTACTGTTTCCCATTCTTCCCCTTTCCAACCTTTACCTGTCCCTTCTTCACAGAGCACCTCTTCTCATTGTTTTTATTGATGATGCACCTCAAGTCGCCAACAGTACCTGTGACTACCCAGTTGGTTCTGGTCCAGTGGAAGCTTGGCTTGCCAATTTTATTCATCTCTGGTGTTCCTTCATCGAGGACCAATGGGTTATTTAGGTTTTATCAGAAGGATTTGTGGTCCCCTTTCTTTCCCCACCTCCCGTATCTCCTTCTCCTGTTTCCTTCTGTCCTCCTCAGGATTTTATGACCAGTCAGCATCTGTTGCAAGCAGTTTGGAAATTGCTATCTCAGGAGGCCATCGAACCTGTTCATCATTCTTCAACAGGTTTTCATTTTCGACTTATTGTTGTTCCCAAGAAAATCGGAGACTGGAAGCCGGTCATAGATTTATCCTGCCTCAACTGCTTTGTTCACCTACCCCAGTTTACCATGGAGTATTTTCTTACCCTGGGGAGGGCGTTTTCTCTGGGTTTATGGATGACCAAACTGGATGTCACCAATGCTTATCTTCATATACCTATATCACCCTGGTCTCATCCTTATCTTCAGTTTGTCCATCTCAGGGTGGTTTATCAATTTCGAGCACTACCATTTGAGCTTGCTTCGGCCCCTTGTGTTTTCTGTTGGGTAGTCCAAGCATTTGCTCGACATCTTCATACTCTGGGGTTGAGTTTTCACTATTACATGGATGACTGGCTTCTTCTAGCTCGTTCCAACCTGAAATTGGCCAGCCATACTTGGTAGCTCCTTTTAGTGGCTGCTGGAGTGGGCTGGTTAATCAAACTGAAGAAGTCCATTCTCAGACATACTCAGTATCTCGTCCATTAGGGGATCTTTTTTAACACTCATATCAATCAGGCTCAGTCTTCTCCTTTAAGACTTTTTTCTATTGAATTATTAGTTTGCCATGCCCTCTTGGTTCCATCGCTTACTGCTCATGAGGTTTTATTGCTTGTGGGGATGTGGTCTTCAATAACATCACTCTTGGACTTCAGTGAGCTCTTCACGATCAATGGAACTTTGCACAGGATCCTCTTTCTACTCCCATTACTCTTCCTCTTAAACTGCAAGACGATCTGTTTTGGTGTTTGGACAAGGCACATACTTCAGTGGGTCATGCCACTTCCTCCCCTCCCTCAGGATCTACATTTTTCATGGATACATCCCTGCAGGGCTGGGGTGCACGTGTCAACCACCAGGAAGCTTCGGGCCCTTGGTCTGTGACAAAAGCGCTTTGCATATCAGTGTTTTTGAACTTCTTGCTGTACATCAGTCATTGAATCACTTCCTTCTTCTCACCCAACATTGTCAGGTGATGGTTCATTCTGGCAATTGTACGGTGGTGACACATATCAATCAACAAAGAAGCACCCGGTTGAGAGATCTATGTTTTCAGACATTGGATCTCTTACACTGAGTCCACATGCAACACATTCATCTCATTGTGTGTCACGTGCCGGGCACTTTTCAATCTTATTGCAGATTGTATTTCCCATCCCATCCAGATATATCCCACAGAGTGGCCCTTAGATCCCCTTGTTTTCAGGGAGCTTTGCATTAGGTGGGGTTCTCCCCAAGTGGATGCATTTAGTATGAACCTCAATCACAAGTTACCTCTCTTTTGGTCACCAGTCCCTCAGGCTGTGGCAGTTGATGCCTTCTATCCTCCTATATGATTACTTCATCAGGTGAACTCTTTCATCCATACAACTCTTTGTAATGTTTTTCTGATTGCTCTTTATTGGCCAGCTCAGCCATGGTTTCCACAGTTACAGCACCTGCTACTCTCCCATCCTATACCTCTTCCATTGTCTCTCTACCTTCTTCATCAACCTCGGTCACCAGTCCTACATCCCACCCTTCATATCCTGTATTTTCATGCCTGGCTTTTATCTAGTCCTTGGCAAGGAGATCTGGTTTCTCCTGTCATGTCGCTTTAATTTTAACTGGTTCCATATGTCCTCCTTCCATGGAGGTATATCAGCGCAAGTGGAAGGTGTCCCACACTTGGTCTACAACTCGGGGATTTCCCGCTGACTAGCTTACTGTGGGTTAGGTGGCAGAATTTCTCACTTGGCTTTTTGACCGGGAGTCTGTCTCTTCGCTCTTGGGTTATCAGGCAGCTTTTTCCTATACCTTTCGTTTTTCTTGATAGAGTAGAGTTTTTACTTCATCCTTCCTTACCATGCTACTGCATTCCTTCTGGTTCCGTTGCCCTCCCAGGTGACCTACCTGTCTGAATTGAGATGTTAATGTGGTACTCCATTCCCTCACTTTACCTCCATATGAACCACTTTACTCATGTTCCATGTTTCATTTTTCCTTTAAAAAATATTTCCTTCTCCTCTTAGCCTGTGGACATCGAGGGTTGGATTTGTTTGCCATTGACGTTTCATGTTCACTTTATCACCCTACCTATCTTCACCTTTTCTGGTTCATTCCTCGCTGACAAAAACCTTGGGAGCTCAGGAGGGTAGCTTCTTCTTTTCGCCTATTTCCCTTCATTGTTATATTGCCTGTATGGCTTTCTTTTATGGTACCCATTCCTGACTCTTTATCCCCTGGCAGTCTTCCTCTCTTCGTGATCTTTCACCTTCAGCCCTTATTAATTGTGTCCCACATTTGATTCAATTGGCCTATTCCTCTTTGCCTTCTTCATCCCGGAATTTGTTCCAGGTGTCTTCTCATCAGATTAGGCACCTCACCTTTTCCCTCGCTTCTTGTCTTTGTCGACCATTGGAGGAAATTCTACAATCAGGCACATGGACTACGACCAATATGTTTGTCTCCCATTATCTATGTCATATCTCAGTTTCTTCTTCGTTGAGTTTTTGTCTTCCACCTGTGGCTATTCTTCAGGCATCGGTGCAACTCTGACTGGTAAGTTTCTATTCATACTTTCTTTTCTTTTCAGGGGTCTTTTTTTTTCATTCTTCTTTACAGTCTTGCTCTGTGACGAGTGGTGCCTAACCAGGTATTCTTTAACTTGAAATCCACACTGTACAACTATGTTGACTCATGCTTTATATTCCATGACTTCGCAATGCTTACCGTTGAGATGGTGGTGTTCCACAAGATCATTTATAGGTGAATAAACTCGTGATATTTTGCTGCATAAACAGGTGATGACTTTCCTCCAGACTCTCCACTACCTTTTTACCCTCCTTTCTTGTAGTGGAGTATGGGAGTCCTTACCACTTTCCAGTTCCAAGCTGCTGGGGTGGTTGACTGTCGAGGCACCCTCCTGAATGGGTTCCACACAAAGATGGTATAACCATTCAGTGCAGAGTAGGGCAGTGGTGTTCTGCAGGTAAAGATGACGTACTGTCTTCCTCTTTGTGATATTCAATTACAAAGGAGTGATACATCAAAATGCAGTTCACCCTTGGATTTAGAGTAGAACCAATCAACATGAGTCCTTACACATGTTTGGAGTTGTCTATCTTCCTCCCTCGATTTTCCTCTGTCTGTGTTGTGGGTCACAGAAGTAGTATGTGGGATTGTTATGGTTCTGTTCTTTGGCTCTCCCTCGTCCTATTTTAATACGGGGATGTTATTGCCCCTTGGATGGTTCCGGTAAGTTTCCCAGTTGGGAGAGTTGATTGCATGTGACAAACATCCTTTCAATATCGGATGTCAGGTCCCCAGATTGATAGCTCATTGCTAATACTTGGGAGACTTGTCATACCTGGCAGATGGTGTGATTCTCAATCTCCAAATCTCTTGGGTTTGAGGTGAAGACAGTATGATCCTCATCCTACCCCTTCATGGATGTTGGTCCCCAGTGGCATGGGTTTTGGATGTAGTTGACTTACTGAGTACGGTCTGTCATGCCTTAGCCACTATACACCTGAGGGCACATCCATTGTTTTACCCACTTTTCTATTCATGAGATTGAGTTATATTTATTTTATATGGTTCATAACATGATCCTGACATAGTTCTTTCCTACTTAGATGTGCTTGTCTCCTTTTCTGCTTTTATGCATGATGATTTGCATGAGAGACATGTTGTAATTGTTCAATTCCAATAGGAGGGAGCAGAAGTTCGCATATAGAGGACAGCACTGAATGAGAATAGCCAATTTCGTGAGAGGAGGTAAGTATCTGTTGGAAATACATTTTCAGAATAGGAAAATTATAATTTCCAAAAAATTCAAGTCTCAATATATATATTCTTATGGTTTTCAGTTTTGGTTTTGTTAATATCATTCGTAATATATACTTATGAATAATTCATCAACATATATATTTATAATTATTTAATTTTTTTTTTACTCTCAGACCCTAATTCTGTCAAACATGTGCGTTACATCTTGGACTCCTACAATGTAACATTTGAATGGATTGCCCCACAAGGAAGAGTAGACTACTACCTTATTGTTTACAATGCTGTTCAAAAACCATTAGCTCAAATTTCACAGCAGGTACGGAGATCTTGATTCACACTCTTGTAACAAAACATTTTATACTGAAGTTATAATAAGCTATAACTCTGATGGATGATGGTTTTGGTCTTCATAGTTTAAAATGTTTTGTACCTTTATGCAAATTAATATATTTCATTAAGTTCAAAGCTTCATATCTGGATACAACTTAAGAGTTAGAGTTATAAACAATTAGAATCAGAGACTTAATGTGAATAGAGCTAGCTTCTACTCAAACAATGCATTTAATGAAACAACTACTATAAAACATCTTCATATACTTCAATGCAATAATCGGTTTATTTGACACCATTGTTCAGTCTTTGTTTATGAAGAATCTTGACTGTGTTCCTCTTAACTGTCTAATTGTGCAATTTTGAGGAAGCACATAAAATAACATCCTGTAACATTTCATTTCACACATACACAAATTAAAACTTTTATTTTAGAAGTTAGGACATACAAGTTTAATCCTGCGATGTTTAATTGTCTGTCTGGCATAGGTTTAAGGCTGAAACTTTCCTTCCTAGTCGTGTGATTTTTTGTGTTTCTCTAACTACTTAACTATAATATGAGAAAGAGTTTTGAATCTTTAGGTTATATGATTGAAATAAATAAGATATTATATATTTTGACAATTAAAATAGAGGGTTTTTAACTGTCTCATGACCTTGCCTGTTTTTGAGACAGATAAATTTTTATATTTATCTAGCTAAAACATCATAAAAAATTTTAATACCAGTTGGAATGAAATAACTTAGAATACAATGTTTAACAAAAATACAAAAACAGGCAACAGCATTGTGTGAAAAAACATTGCATATGTTCATACTCTATTGTAGTATTAAAATTTGGCAATCTTTGTGACATGCTTTAAACCTTAACTACTTTTAACCATCCATGGAAGTTACTCTATCTGATATTAGTCTACCCATACAGATATTTGCTACTGAGACACAGCAAGGAGAAATGGTGAGTGTGATTGTAGGCAAGCTGAAACCTGGAGAATTGTATTCAGTTCATTTCTATGCTGTCAGTAACAATTTACAAAGTGAAGGCACTGGCATTCAAATGCGTACAAGTAAGTTACAAGATTTCTTGGCAATACTCCTTTTGCAATTCATAACTATAAACTATATTTTATTTCCTCTTTTGTATATGACCATTTTTACTAATATTATTCATTTTTAATGTTGTAAAAATTGCAAGATTACATCTTACAACTCGTTTGTTTTAAAGAATCTATTATTTTAGGCTATTGTAATAACTATTAAATGTCACAGTTATAATAAAAAAATTCTGTAACGTAACTTATGCAGTGAATACCAACTAAGTAATTAAAGTCATAAATATTTCAAAATAAGCAAGTACTAGTTAGTCTCTCACTTGAAACTGAATGCAAGTAAATCTTCCAGTGAAATATTATTATTATTATTTCTTTTGCAGATTTTAAGAATACTTTCTTTTAAAATATAAGTATTTAATCTTCTGAATTATAAAAGTATAAGATAAATGTATTGGATGTTTTGTAAAACAGTGGTTTTGGGAGGTTAAATCTTTTTTATAATATAAGAAGTTTCTATTCCCTCTTTTTAGCTTTTGTTTGTCATACTTTTTTTATATAGATAAGTAAAATCCTAATTTTCCTTATCTGTTGTTTTCTTGAAGTGCCTGTGATTGATTCAGTACTAAATATAGTAGTTGATGAACATGAAACTCAGACCCTGATGATTAAGTACACGCCAACTCCTTCACAAAATGTGGTATTTGACCGGTATCGTTTTCAACTTAGTGATTTGGCAGTACCAGCCCAAGAGAAACTTTACAATGACATGAATCATTTAGTAATTTTTGACAATCTTTTACCTGGTCATCTTTATAATATTACCATTTGGACTGTGAGTGGAGGAGTATACAGTGTGCCAACATACAGACAGGCTCGATTATGTAAGTTCTTGTGTCAAGTTATCTGTTTTCATTAATTATGTTGATCTTTATATTTAATTCTTCAAATGTGGACTAAAAAATCTAAAATTTTAATGACTGTAATTATGTGATTTATCACAGGTTGAAATGATATTTCTGTAACTTACTTATTTTTTTTTTTACTTTAGATCTTGTGTCAGAAGCTTTATATTTATACTGTTTACCTGTAAAACTCAGTTTTCAAAAGCCTTTAGTTGAATGTCTGAACAGACCACTTTTTTAAGCTTTCTCCTTTTTTCCATATGCCATTAACATGTTTGTTTTGTTGTTGCTACACATTGGGCTATTTTTGTTGTGCCTACTATGGGTATCAAAATCTGGTTTTTAACATTATAAGCCTTCAGACTTACCACTGAGCTACTGGGGATGCCTTTAACGTGAACATACTAAGGTGTGGTTTAGACAGAAGTCAGATATTCATACATACTTGGTATTGTAGATTGTTGCAGTACTGTTTTTTTTCCTCAAAATTTTCCTCACAGTATCTAGTTTCACTATAGGTAGTAGGAATGCTAAGTATAGTTGATATTTAGAATTAATTCATGAAAAACAACAATAACAATAACAGCTATTACAAAATAATCCCAGCATATTATCTCAGAATCTTGAGGAAAAATTGGTTTGTTTGAAGTAAATAAATAAACATTTAACTAAGAGCTGATATTTCGGGCAATTTACTCTTTTCATACTAACTTTGATTTTTCTGCAAGTTATACAGTTGTAATGCAATTAATCCTAAGTGATTTCCAGCATATAATTTATTTTAGTCATATAAAACTGAATTGTAATGGGACAAATTATTCATCATGTTAATCTGCATTTTCTGTAGTTGTATATCATATATATATATATACAATGTTCTGTTTGCCTTTGTCTTGTGCTTTAAATGAACTTGTGCTAAATCTACTTTGTAATTATGTAATAATTTTTTAATTATAACTTGACTCTGTATCTTAGCTATGGCAAATTTTATTTCATGATCAGTTGTTTGTAATTAATCTAAGTATATACAAGTTATATTATACATATCTGATGATTTTAGGGGAGATAAATGTTTACATAATAGTATAAATACACCTGACTATTATTATGACAAACTTAATTCATTTCCAATAGTGCTACAAATATGTGTATATATTATATTAACTATACTTTTTATATATATAAATATAATTATGCAAGCATAAAGAAATACTTTTTATTTATTGTGCTATATCTATTTATGCTTCTTCTTTAGACCCAGATCATGTAAGGAACATCAATGCTATTAGAATTACAGACACAAGTATAAGCTTAACATGGGATGTACCTAATGGTGAGAAGGATAGTTATGAAGTGCAGTATCTGGATCACAAAGGAATTTTACAATGGAATACGACTGCAGTGGAACAAATAACATACTTTAACTTGCATCCTCATCATAATTACACCTTTGCAGTGACTGTCGTTAGTGGATATGGTACATCTACTGTTCGTAGAAGTCTTTCTTTATCCAGAACATTTCAAACTTTAGAATCTGGTAAGTAAAGCTTGTATTATAGCAAAAACAAACAGATTTAGTACATTATTTTATATGATGTAATTGGAAATGTTTGCATGCATATTTTGCTTTTTATTAAAAATAAATAATCTTACAAATTCACTGTGTTGGTTAAAATTACATACTTAATTGTATTATGAAAATAAAACAGTTTATTATCTCATGTACTAGTAAATGAAAAATAAGTAATTAATATATATGTTTTTTCAGTTCCAGGAAAAGTTCACTTGTTCAAAGCCATTGATATTAGGCCATCATCCATAACACTCCAATGGTCTCTTTCCCCACATGACCAACATGGAATACTCACTGGATTCCAAGTCACCTATTTTGATAAAGTGTGAAATATGTTTATATATATATATATAAGTATATATTTACTCAGGAATGGAATGAAGCTCAATATGTTAAGCATACTTTATACATAAATGTTATTTGTGCATAAAAATGTTTGAAACATACATATGTATATATATATATACATAATATATGTATTAATCATTTAACTTACATGTTTAGAATAATATGTAAAACTGGGTTCTCATGCATTGGATTTTATAGTATTTTAAAGTAGGCACATTTTCTACTAGTTTTGTTCTTTTTCTTTGCACAAACTAATTTCTGTAAAATAAAAAGTCAAAGTTTAAAAATATTTCTCAAAATATGTAACTACCTATTTACTGCATTGGTTGGATATTTAAGTGCTAACAAAAACAAAAATTATATTTTAAGTTTCATTGTTAAAGTCCTAGCAAGTAGGATTATTGAAGTGTAAGAAAAATGGTAATGACTTTTATATGTTATGTTAAAGTAGCAATAAAACTGCAAAATGTTGAAGATATAATAAATATACCTACAAACAGTCATTCAAAACTTTTTTAATTGGGTGTTAAAGTCTAAGTAAAAGTATAGGACTGTGTGCTTAGATGTTAAATTTTACATTGAACTATTTAGTTTAGTTGTTAAAATTCAGTTTAAATTGAAATGGTATCTTGTTTTCATGCTAAATTTTAACACTGTATAAAACAAATGTTTTTAAACTTTTTTTAAGCAAAACCATGTAAATTATCTAGTTTGTGTATTAAACTTCAAGTAAAACTAACATTAGTGGATGAAAATTGATCTAATGGCTGCCTAATAAGAAACATTACAACCTTGGGTCATGTTAAGTCTGGGTTAAAATATATTATGATAACAGGATGTAAAATTTGAACTTTGAATTCTTATGAATGTTTATCTCTCAATTTTTCTCCTTTAATTACTTTTCCAGGAATTATTAGTTGTTCGTCGTCATGTGTTCAAACCAACAGAGACCATAGGAACCATATATCACCTTATTCCAGGAAAATCCTATGTGTTTGAGGTAGAGATTTTAAAAATTGTTTTGGTCGAATATATTCATGAAAGATAAAATAAAAAAAATTTAAGTATTCATTAGAATAGTAAAGTGAAATAAATATTAACACCAGCCTGACTGTTAAACAGCCTTTACCAAATTTTATTCATATTAATAAATGAATGTAGAAGAACTGATATATTTTATAATAGAGAGATACAATAACTATGACTTGAATCATTTAACTTTCATTGTATTCTGTTTGAAGCTAAATGCTTTCCTTGATTACTAAAAAAATAGTTTTATCATGATAAAGTTAAACCTAAACCCCTTTTTTTCAGAATCTAAAATATCTACATTACTTTTATTTTAAAAATCAGTTATTTTGTTAAGGTGATGATTTTTGAAAGCAACATATTTGAAATTTTCTGGAGGTATCCCATACATTTTGGCACCAAATAAATACAAAACGAAAACAAAAATTGGGATATAACGTTTCACAGAATTTATACTTGGACTTAAAGTGCCTTATATTAAAACTTATTTAAAATTAAATGACTTTCTTTAAAATTTTGCTTTTTCCCATTTTAAGGTATTTAGTCCAAAATAACTTTAATTGAGTATATGACTTTTATTAGGATTTTTATTAAAGATAAATTACATTATTAAGATATGAATAAAGCTCGATAATTTTCATTAGAATATCTTCAGACTAAATCTCCTTATGGTCTTGTAGTTTGTAATGCAGTCTTTCCTTTTTGATGTATGTACTAATTTAGCTGTTTAGATGATATTTTGTTTTAAATATCATTATGAATTAAATACACTGTTTTCAATGTATCCGAATGACTGAGATGAGGATTTGGATTAAAGATAAGTGATTTACATAGGGAACTAATTATCCAAAACTAAATGACTTACTTAAAACTTAATTACAGATATGATGACTTTTATTAGGAGATGACTAAACCTACATAACATTCATTGAAACCTAATTAAAGTTAAGTAGCACTTACTTTCATTCTCTCTCTCTATATATATATATATATATATTTATTTCTTAAAATATTGTATAACAAATATAAAAATATAGTACACAAATGTGAAGAAGCAAGAATTAAATATATTATGCTTAAAAGTGGTGATAAACCATATATACATATTTTTAACAAGAAACTCATGGTACTATTTTCATGCATGTATTAACATCATTAACACACATGAATACACAAGCTTGTGTAGAAGGTAGAAGAATATTTGAAAATTACTAATTACAGTAAACTATTGGTGGAGAATTGGTGTCATACTAGTTTAGACAATTTGGTAGGGATTTTATTCCAGTATATTCTTTCTGCTGTGCTACTGATATTACCTTATTAATTGGGGCTGGACCACCAACTTCAGGAGATAAGGTTTTCTTACCACTCCTAATGGTTGGACTTTTTTCCTTCTTCTTTATTTTATTTATTTATTTTCCACTTCTTTTCGTCTGAGAGCATTCACATTCCCATAACTGTGTGCAGGCAGTGAAGGGTGATATAAATGTGGGATTTTGTGGGCTTAAGCACCCACATCTTGCTCTCTTTTTTATTGTTCCTTATTTTACTTTCTTATTATTATTTTTCTTCACGTGTGAGACTTTGTAAATGAAGGTTAAGACTGAGAAATGATGCATCACAACCACAATGTCGGTCCTACTTCTGCAGTAACCTCCAAAAACCAAGACATATCTCATCCCCACATTACAATTTGTGCTCTGGTGACTGTTCCGTTGTGCAAAATTGTCTTTTACTAAGTCCCATTTAAAATTAAATGATTTTCATTAGGATTTCATCAAAATTCAACTAAATATCCTTACCATCATCTTGGTTGAAGCATAGCACTATTCATTGTTTAAAAACTTTCATAATAATGTAACTCAGACAAAAATTAGTTTTTTTTTTAGTATCTGACTAAATAGATGGCCCAGCATGGCCAGGTGGTTAGGGCAATCGACTCGCAATCTGAGGGTCACGGGTTCGAATCCCCGTCCCACCAAACATGCTCGCCTTTTTAGCTGTGGGGGCATTATAATGTGACGGTCAATCCCACTATTAATTGATAAAAGAGTAGCCCAACAGTTGGTGGTGGGTGGTGATGACTAGCTGCCTTCCCTCTAGTCTTACACTGCTAAATTAGGGGAGGCTAGCACAGATAGCCGTCGGGTAGCTTTGCGCGAAATTCAAAACAAACAAACAAACTAAATAGATTTTGCTTGGACATTATTAAAACTGAATTATATTCGTTTCAAGATGCGTTAAGATACCTGACTGAAAACGTGTGTTTCCTTTTTTGAACAATATTAATCACCATGAACTTTGTACTGAATTTAATTATTCTGTAATTGCAAATTATTTTCTTATAACATGGTCCATTTACAAATGTTTAAGTAACTATTATATGATATCCATCTAATTG